CGCTCCGCCAGGGCCGGCTTCCTTACCTTCTCACCCCACTGCACGTCTGCCACCCCTATTTCGTGACTGCTGTGGTTGCGTCCAAGATGGCGCCGCCTTCCATTCTACTGAGGTGGGGTCCGGCCGAACCATTTCTTGGAGGGCGCCGCTACATTTAACTGCACTGATGCCCAGTGATACCTCCTCCCTCAGCACATGTCGCTGCCCAGCGCTGAGCAGCCGGTGACAGGACAATGCCACCATGAAAGGACAGCGCACCGGCACGAAACTCACCCCACTACCCCCCTACAATCTTTCACTATGGCTTCGCCCGATGTCAGTCGGCGCGCGTGCGGGCGCTACCAAGCTGGTGTAGAGGGGGAGACGCGCGGTGCTTCGCCGACATCGACGCGGTTGTGCCGGGGCGCGGCGAGGGCGGCGGGTCAGCGCCCCCCCTGCGGCGGCGGGGCCGTGTGGTAGGGCCCGGCGGTAGCGCCACATCAGCCGGCGGGATGGCGGAGCCGGGAGCGGCGGGGGCTGCGGCCGGGCGGCTTCCGAGCGCTGTTTTATCCTACCGTGACTTTGTGGGTTTTAAATAACATTTTTCCTGAGGTAGAAGATGACAGAGCCGTGCCGTGGTATCTCTGCGTGCCCCGCGAGAATCCTTAAAGCTCCCTCCCGGTGCAGCCGGACACACAGGGCAGCGATCTGAGGGGTCATTCCTGGCATTTTAGCGTGATTTTTAAATGGTTTCTTAACTGATAAAGCTCTCCTCTCTTCACGTTGACTACCAACATGACTGACCTGAGAGATGTAACCCCACATTATCGGTTAAAGCACCGCATTCTGTCCCGGGCACCTCAGGCTGATGAAGAATACAAAGAATGCATGAAGTGTGACTTCTGCCACCATGTGTGTTTATATATATATAGATATATATATTATATATATGTATGTATGTATGTATATTATATATTGTACATTCAGAGTGGATACATGCAGTGTGACTTCTGTCACCATGTGTGTTTATAAATTTATTTATTTATTTATTTAGTATACTCAGTGTGCCTCAGAGAACTTGGAATTTGCCTCGGATACCATCTTTAGGCGACAGTTTTAGAGGAAAAAGTTCTTAAGAAATAGTTCGTCTCTTCAGACTTAGAGACATACACTTGCATTTTGAGTCAGATTTCTTTTTTTATCCCAGTGCTTTCAATCAGTTATCAAAACAGACAATGCCAGCATTAAAAAAAAAAAAAAAAGGAAAAAAAAAGGAGGCAGGGCAGGTAGTGTACAGAACACTTCAGAACATTTTAAAATTAGACTTTGTCGTCTATTGCAGCATCTTGGATGTTTTGAGCAGCTCTTCGGGCGGTGTTTGAGCCAGGCCAGCTGTGTAATGTCGCAGGGAGTCACACGATGGCATCCGAACTCCACTCCCCGGCTGAGTGTGTCCCTGTGTCCCTTCCCAGGGAAGGCAGCTCCCATCAATGGAAACCATGACTGGCACTGGGGGCAGCAATTTTTTCCCCCGTTACCTCGTGGTAGCTGACCAGCCCCTGACTCCCCGCTCAGCCCCAGCACTCACTGAGGTGAACACAGAGTGCTGTTTCCTGCCATCACAGCCATGTGCTTTTCCAAATGTGAGGAAGCAGGACATGGTCAATTCATGATCCCAGCTGGCTCCTCAGTATTCCATGGCTTTTCCAGGGGTGTATATGAGGTCTGTGCTGCTTTTGTTTCACCACTCGCACTGTCTGTATTGCTGGAATGTGCAATTTCTGCAGTTGCCCTTTTTCCTGTTTGCACTTTTCCAGTTCTTTGGTTAAGCAGTGGATCTGAACATTGGATTCTCCTTTCCCTGACTCTTTGCACTTTTCTCTACTTTTCAGCAGCTTTTGATTTATCTGCTCTTCCTTCCTTCTCCTTTTCCTTTCTCTGTAGAAATTTCCCCTCAGTCCCTGCCCTATCTCACTGCTATTCTTTTTCCTTCCAGCCCTTACTCAGCAATCTGAGGGAGAGCGGAACAGCTTTTAAAAACACAGATTTTGGCACTGCCAGCTGAAGCCTGTTCCTTTAAGTACTCCACATGCAAAACTCCCAATCAATGGGAAATTTGGGGGGAAAAAAATCTTGCAGGAAAGGCTTTTTATAACCCAGCTCTCCAACCAGCAGTGCCTCATGAATTTTATTGCGTGCAGGTGATCTGAGAATAGTGGAGCTGACAGCTCTGTTTCCTAAACTGAATTCTGAGGGAGTAAGCAAATTCTTGTATGAAATTTCATCTAATCCTGACAGGACGTGCCCAGAATGACACTCTGTGAGGTAGGGCCTGGGGTAGGGATTTATTTCTGCATTGCTTTTGTTACCTGAACCTGCATCCAGCTCTGGGGTCAGCACAGCAAGGACAGGGAACGATGACCAGAGGGATGGAAAGAAAGGAAAGGCTGAGCAAATTGGAATTGTTCAGCCTGGAGAAGAGAAGGTTTCAGGGTGACCTGACTGTGGCCTTTCAATAGCTGAAGGAGCGTGCAGGAAACATGGAGAAAAATCTTTACAATGGGGGATGGCTTTAAATTGAAATAGAATAGGTTTTGATTAGATATGAGGAAAAACTCAACCCTGTGAGGGTGGGGAGGCCCTGGCATGGATTTCCCAGAGAAGCTGTGGCTGCTCCATCCCTGGAAGTGTCCAAGGCCAGGATGGACAAGGCTTGGAGGTGTCCCTGCCCACAGAATGGGGTTGTAACAATCTGATCTTTAAAGTCCTTTCCAACCCAAACCGTTCTGTGATTCTCTGACATATGTCCTTTTTTTTCTTCAGTGTTTATTTTTTCTTTATGCTCAAGGTTTTCCAGAAGCTTTTGCTGCAGTAACAGCAAATACAGAAGTGTTCAATAACTTACATCAAGCAGTTGAAAATTTTTCAATTTTTCAAATGCCCTGTTGAAAAATTATTTCCGCAATTGAATTCTTTTCCACAGTATTTTTCTTCAAGACTCCGAAGCAATCTTCAGTTTCAGAATATCTTATTTATACCAAATAAATAGTTATGCTATTAGCTTAAGTACAGACCAATCAAAAATCTATAGCTGAATGAGAACATGTTGATTCCTCCATTCATTTTCTCCAAAAATGCTGTATGGGCGAAAAATCCTGCGGTGTTCAGAAGTGCTGAGCAGGCAGAACTCTGCTGGGCTGCTGTGCAAACATGATTTGAAGGGCCTCTCAGCTTAAATAATGCCATGCTTTTTTAATTTTATCCACAGCTTTCGTCTGCACCCACGCTCCTGGGGACTGGGCTGAAATAGCACCGAGGGAGGAGGAAAAGGAGAATCACTTGACTCATTTACATCTTGGTAGCAGCACAAAAACTTTTTGTTGTGGTCACAGTTACCCCTGAAATAATTCTCACTTCATCGTTTTCTGCTTTAGTTCTCTCTGCATACATATTTATCTTCCCTTGATTAAGAAATATCAGGAATATTAATTAGAGAATGCATCCAATCCTTAGGATGTTGAAAATATAAAACATTATTATGGATTGTAACGTCTCAATCTGGAGGTCCAAAATCTATAAGGTTTTTTTATAAGGGTCTGATGGTGTTTTCAGGAAAATCACTGTACAAAACATGCACCTTTTTTTTTTCCACCACTGTCAACCATATCATTCTTGACTAATAAAGTACAGGAAGTGGGGAAAAAAATCACTAATAAAATGAGAGGTGCTCATACATGGAGTTCTTGTTTTTATGCACTTTTGGAAGGTGTATTTGCATTTCAAATATTCATATTTCTATGCTTTTCTGAATAGCTTAGTGTTCATTCTACCAAATTTACCAAAAATCCAAGTGCATCCAAAATATAAAAAAAATACTGAGCATTGGAAACTTGATTAATGTCCTAGATGGCAGCAGAAATACCATGGGAAAAGGAACTCAGGTAAAGAAAATATACCAGAATTAACATGGAGTAATTAATCTGATGAGAGGGCACAGTCTCAAGCTGTGAGACCCAACAATTGTGTTGGACATCAGGAGGAATTTCTTTCACAGAAAGGGTGATCAGACATTGGAAGTGGATGTCCAGGGAGGCGGGGGAGTCACGGATCCTGGATCTCTTTCAGGATAGAGCGGACGTGGCACTCAGTACCATGGGCCGGGTGACAAGGTGCTGTTCGGTCATGAATCGGTGATTTCAAACTCTTTTCCAACCCATGATTGTGTGACAGGAAATGCAAAGCGCAGCCTCGCCAGTTACCTACTTTTGCTAGAACTTCACAAACATCCTTTTCAGATTTCAAAAACTAAACCAGTTATACTTCGGAATAATCCCGCATTAAACCCATGAGCCGATCACTCTTACACGCCGTAAGATCCTTGTGAGATGCGTTACAAATCCCGAAGCGCTTCAGCGGCGCTCGCAGCGCTCCCGGCAGCGGCGGGGCCGGTTCGCTGCCCCGCCGGAGCGTGTCCGGAGCCCCGGGGCCGCAGCCCCGCTGCAATTTGACACAGCCCCGCAGTTCTGGAGCCGCAGCCGGGCCGGGCGGAGCCGCCGCACCGCGCCCCCCGCGCCCCTCGCCCCCGGCCCCGCGGGAGGCGGCTCTGCCCGCCCGCCCCGCCCGCGCTGACAGGCGGGCGCTGCGGAGGAAGGGGAGGGCGGCCGCCCCGGCCTCACATGACCGCGGCCGCGATGGACGGAGAGCCGCCCGCGGGCACGGCCGCAGGTACGGGGGGATGCGGGTGCCGGGGCCGCCCCTCGGTGCAGCCGCGCCCGCCCTGCGCTGCCCGCCCGGGAGCGGACGCGGCTCCGCGCCGGGGTCGGGGCTGCGGGGAAGCAGAAAAACTGCGGGGAAGCGCCGCCGCCTTCCCCTCTCCCCCCGGGGCAGCCGGACCCCGCTGGCCCCGGCCCGCCCGGTGGCTGCTCACGGCGGGCTCAGCGCTGCCCTCCGGGGCCATGGGGGTCCCTCCCCGTGCCAAGGAGCGGGGAAGGAGCGGCAGTGCCCGGGCCGCCGGGGTTACCTGCCCGGTGCCGCCCCGGTGGTGCCGCAGGCGCTCCGCTCCCTTGTGCGGGGCTGGACGCGGGCGCGGTCCCGAAGTTCTCCCGTGGGCAGTGACGCGGCCGAGCGCTCCCTCCGTGCCGCGCCGAGTCTATTCCGTGCCCGCCCGGGAGCTCCGGGCACCTCGGACCCTCCCGCAGCGGGACAGCGGCACCGGCGGTCCCGGAGCCCCCGCTCCGAGCCGGCACAGCCAGCGGAGAAAGCGCCGGCTCCCAGCGCTGGGGTTCCAGCAGCGTGCAGCTGGGGCTGGGATGGAGAAACTCACAGCCAAATACTGCCAGCGCTTGTTGCGAAATGAGAGATGGAGGGAGCTCCTGGGTGAATTGAGGGAATAACGTGTTAGACTCCTTTAGCAGTTAAACTGAAGGAAACTTTTAGAAGTTCTCTTTGAAGTTGTTGAACTTTTGTACCTGCTCTGTCCATACTAATTTTTTGCTCAGTTTGGAAAGAAAACAAGTAGGTAAGCTTAATGCGTAGAAAAAAGGTTTGGTTGATTGTATTTAGAACCCTCTGTGAGTTTGCTCTTGTTAGGCCTGTGATGCTCCCGGTGCAGATAATGCTTATAAATAAATTATTTTGGAATATTTCCGTCCAGGACTGATGTAACATATTGAACAGCAGCCTTTGTGGAAAAAATGTCCTACTGTACCAAAGAGAGAGCTTGCTCAGGTATGTCTGTTATGGATTTACCATCTGCTTCAGGAGCCTTATAGAGATAAAACAGTTGTCTCCAAGTACTCTTCAACTGATTAACTTCTGGTGGTGGTGCTTCTGTACCTTTCTGATCTCCTCAGCCTTCTTTAGAAAACCTGGTTTTCTTTGGCACAGAGTTTATGATGAACATTGAGAGAGGGTACATAATGATTTTGGCTAAAGAAAGATAATGCTGTGAATGCAGCAAAATTTTTTATTTTTAGCATCATGATGCAGGTTCAGGGCTCTTTGAAGTTTCACACCCATATGTAATTGTTTTTGGAGACCAGCAGCTTGTCAGTGAAATGTTCAGAGTAATGAGAGTCCTGATAGGTATCCCTGATGCTCCCCTTTGAGGGCACATACAAATGCTGTGGTTTTGATTTAGCAGTACTAAAAGTAGAAGTACTTTCATACAATCGAAGAGAAAAGAAAAAAGGATAATGTCCAGCTTGTAAAGTCAATTCTGCAGAGTGGCTTTTATTGACTTTTTTCTTCCTTTTGCTTTTACTTCCATGTGAGTCTGTTTTGCAATGATTGCAGGGAGGTAATGCAGGTGTTGGCTGTGGAGGGAGTGAGGTGTCTCTTTTTCTTCTAATGTAAACCTTTAACTGGGTGTTCAGCCTGTGGGAGGCTGTACAGGTTACAGACAATATAATTTGCACATGATTTCCCCCACAGTCTTCAAGTTTTATGGGTTGGTGCAAGTTGAGGGAGAAAAATTTACCAGTTGCAGACATATGGAATTGATACAAAAGGAGGAAAGCTTTAATAATTGCTTTTCAACAGGATTTGGGATAAGAATGAGCTTGTTCTAACTATAAAATGTATGAAAAGACTGTTGGGAGGCTGTAGGGTCTGGAGTGGCGATGCCATTTTTAATGCTTAAATATTAACATCAAGCATAATCAGGAGGGTGAGAAACATGTAAGGAAAATGAGGAGCAAAACAAAGATAATATATTTATTTTCATGGGATATTCTTGACCTCTATAGGGATGGTTGGTTGTGGAAACTTGCCAGTTTTATAGTCAGGCTAAAATTTCCTTGTGAAAGTTTCCCAGAGTAGTTGTTTGGGTTATTGCTTGCTGGGTTACATTTTGGGTGTGAATTTTTACACTTCCAACCTCTTTTGAAAAATGATAGCTTAGCAGTCATCCACTGAGCTGCTGGGAACCAGCCCTAGCGAGCATTTGACTTTTTGTCCCTGTAATCTTAGGGCACATTCCTGGTTGGATTTTTCTCTGCTAATCCTGTTATTTCTTCAAAGTAGCTGCATCTCACTTTATTGTGTTTGCTGCAACTGGGGGCTGTGGCTCATGGCTGACTTGTGAATGGAATGTGTCCCTTGGATCCCCAGACCTGGGGAATCAGATGAATCAGTTGATGATCTAACAGCATAGTAAAAGAGCAGGGCAAGAGGCTTAAGGTTAGTTCTTTACACACAGTAAATCTGTGTGACAAGTTGGTGTTGGGGTTTTTTCCTGCTGGAGTATGGGATTGTGGTAGTTTGAGAAGCAGCAAGAGGCCTCCAGCTGCAGGGGACTGCAGAAATTCAGGTGCTTTTTAAGTATTACTAAATAAAGCTTGAATAGTGTCATCTATTTTTGAGTTGAGGAATAACTTCTCTGTTTCATCTTTAGCAGCACCAACTGCTGAGTAACTATCTTAAACTTACTTGGAAAAAACCACCAAAAACCCCTTCCCAAACAAAAACCAAACTACCTGCAACACTAAAAAAGGGGGAAATAGGAAAACCTAACCAAAGGAAAAAAACCCCAGAAAACCCAGAGTAACTAGTGCAGAGTACATACTTGGCATCTGTGGTAATGGTGTTTTGGTTTTTTTAAAGGAGAAAAACAAAATGTTGGAGCCTGTTTCCAGCATCTAATTTTATGATAGTGTGTGCTATTTTATCTTGTTTTGACATTGTGGGTAGCTTGTATTTACATGGGAATTGTTGGGAAGGAGAAAGAAGGAGACTTAATTAGAGTGAAGCTAAATATGATAACTTTTTTCTTGTACCCAGTAAGAAATACAGACCTGCTTTCCATGTTGAACACACAGCTGTGCAGCACTTAGCTTTCTTAATTCTTTTGTTAATTCTTAGTTCTGATTCTTTTGCTTTTCTGCTTTTGAAATAAAAATTGCATGGTTCAAAACAATCCAAACAAGTTGTGTGCAGTTGTCTCAAAAAAAAGAGTAGAGCCTTTAATAGGAAAAAAGTTTTGTTTGTTTTTTTTTTTTGGTGGTACTTATGTTGTTTGGTTTTTTTTTAGGGGATTTCAAATTATGTAATATTTCAGAAAACGAGAACTAGGATGGGAATCTGTTTGAATTTGTAGTTGAAATCTGCACCAGCTTTCAGGGAGGCTGATGTGGACGCTGGATTCTGGAATTATGGAGGAATGTTTTTGACATAAGGGGGAGAGGCATTTCCATAATTCCTGGGGCTTCTCATGAGAAGACAGAAAGGAAAGGGAAATGCTGATGAATGATATTTACATTGCTGCTTTGTAATTCCTGGCCCAGGAGTTGGTAGTGGAGTCCTCACTTTTTCCAGGGAAGAATCTGAGGTATCTGTGCACAAAACCAGTCAGTTTTCATATTTCCTGTGGGTTGGATCCCTCTGCTCTGCACAGCTGTGGCCTGTGATGATGGAGGAGAGATCTGAGCTGCTTTTCCTGAAGGTTTTGCTTCCTTACAGGCTCCTTTCTCCTTCTAGTAAAAATGCTACTAATATAATAAGTAATTCTGTGGCACCACCTACTTAAGCATGTCTGATAAATTTATCTGATTATTGCCTGGTGTAATAAGGAGTTGGTAGCATCAGCCATCTGTGAAATGAAGATAAGGCCTCCAAATTTGATTGACAGAGCTTAAACAGGGAAGGGAGATCAATGCTGTGATTTACCACCTGTGCTTCCAGCCCTGGCATCGCTCTGCTGGGTGTGCTTACTCACATGTGAAAACTCTGTGCAGCTATGCAGGAACTTGGAGTTTTGCTCTGGCTTTCATAAATGCATGATTTTGGAAATTTGGATGAGGAAACTGCTAACTCCATGGAAGGCAGATTGCTGCCCAGTTGTATCAGTGGAGTAATGAATGTTGAGCACTAACTAAAGCATGAAGTAGAGAAATTTTCTATTGCAGTTTTTCTCTGGGTAAGTTTCTCAACTGCCTTCAGTCCAAAGGCTATCTGACTTGTTGCAAAAAAAAAAAAAAAAAAAAAAAAGAAAAAGTATTATGCAGTGTTTTCATAGCTGTTTTCTTTTACAACCAAACAAAAACTAGGCCATGCTTTGAATGCTTCTTCAGACTTTTAGTTCTTGTTATCTTGTTGTCTTGTTTGCATATGTATGTTTGTATATATTATTTTTAACTTTTATATCAACTTGTTTTCAATTGTATCAGGCCACTTCCTGATACCTTATTGACAACAGATTGAGAATCTGCTGTAGCAAAAGCCTGGCTTGTAGGAAAAAGCTGATTTTTATTTTGTCTGCTTCCCAGTGTTCCAGGGGAACCATTCCATACCTCATTTCTGTATCCACTTGCTGCTGTCTCTCTATAAACTTTACCAGATAATGATCTGCTGAAAGCAAAAAGGGAATGTTTTCAAAATTAGCTGTTCTGCAGCAGAGGGTGCGTGATGGGAAGTTTTAAGTGTTCTGGTACAATGCATGTAAATCCTTTTACTGCCTGAACACAGGAGCTCATACCAATGAGTTCCCACTATTATCCACCATTCCTGGCCAGGGCTCTTGAGGCTGTTCCTAAATTGGCTCTTTAGTAAGTAGAATGAAAAATGGGCTGAAGAATAGCTCCAGTACATATTGCTCTGTAGGGCTGGTGTTAATGCCATGATAAGCATTTCCTAAAGCAGGTTAACAGCTGTTCCCAAGTCATTTTACTGTGTTCTCAGAGCTGTGTTTGTGGGTGTAGATTCACTCTGTCTTGTTGATACCAGGCATGCTGAGGATATTAATTAAACAGTAATTATTCAAACTTGTTTGCATGGTTGTCTGGGTTGTGTGATTTCACACATTTAGACAAGGTTGAGATGTAAAGAAGCTACAGAATATTTCAGGGAGAGTCAAGAGTGCGAACTGCTGATAAAGAGAGGGCATGTCCTGTAGGTGATTTTTAGAGAATAGTATGATAAAAACTGGGGAGAAATTACCAAGAAAAGGGCAACATGGCTGAATTGACAAAGGACTGTGGATTCTGGCCTGGTGGGGCATCACTCTGTGGATGTCTACTGGGTAATGGGTTCAGACCTGTAAAGAACTTCTGAGTCCTCAGCATCAGTTTGGTTCTGGGACTTAAAGATGGAACAGTGATGGTTTCATGGTTCACCCTATACATCTTTTCTCCTCATGCCTGTCTCTTGCCTTTGGGGTTCCAGGAGTTAACCAGACAATGCTGAGCCCTGTTCAGGGAGTGATTTGTGCTGTTGATGTCCAGCAGAAGGATGGGAAGCAGAGACTCAATAGGCAGGAGGAGATGTTGTGTGAGCACAGATTGGCACTGCTTGGGGGATTATTTGCGGTGCATTTTGAGTAGCCCCCTTTGGGAGAGGCCTCTGCAACATCAGTGGCTGAGCATCACAGAAGGCTCTGGAATTCTCTGGAGGGAGGTGTGTGTGCATTGGAGGAGTAACAACATCTGCTGTCCTGTGTTGCATTTCACTGGTGTGTCTTGAGCAGTTAAACCCAAGAATCACCAGGGTGGACACCCAGATAGCTGCTCTGGAAATCCAGGATGCCTTGTGCTCTACAGGTGTTACCACTTCATCCAGCAAATCATCAATCAACACTGAATTAGTTTGTATTATTTTACTGCAGATTTCTGGCAGGTAGCTGGAAATCTTTAGGAGCTGCTCCATAGGTGGGGTTAGCAGCTGATATGTCTATTAAGGCAGAGGTGTTAAGACTTGCTTCTCTGAGTCACATTAGCAGGAATCTGAAGCCTGATGAGGCATGTGGGATAAGGTCATTTGTCCTGGATTTGGTTTGGTTTCATAAAGTCATTTTATGGAACAAATAGCAAAATGTCTGTTATGAAGTGATAAATCTGAAGAATTAAAGATTGCTTGTTTTCCCTGTTTATCAGGGCCTAGGGCACATGAAGGAGCAGGTAGGAAATCTTTATCAAGAGGAGGTCAGGGCTTTCAAGTCAAGGCTATGACTTCTTATCTTCCTTGAGTTAATCTGTTACCCAGTTAACAACTTTTTGAACTATGTATTGAAGCTGAAAGAAATGCTTCTTGCTTCTGTGGTGTTACTGTGTTCTCAAAATTGCAATCTATTTAAGAACTTCTGCACCATGGCAAGGAAGGGATAATGGATCCTACCTGGCTCTTTAGGTACCTTTCATTATGGATTTGACTTGCTTTATAAAAGAGCTTGTTCACAATATGCCTCTTACAGAGAGGCAGCAACCCAGCTGCTCCAGACTGGAGAGCAGAACTCGGGCATGGAATGGACAGAGCCCAGGATTATACCCTCATTTTTCACACTATTTCCTATGTGTGGAATGGGTAGAAAAGAAAGGAGGGCTTTGAAAAACAATGTAAGCTTAGTTTACAGTCACATAATAGATGCAGTTATGAAGTCAGGGTGAGATAACAGGCTGCAGTCAGGCACTTGATAAGAGAACACTCTGAGTCATCAGCTTTGCCCCTTCTTTGATGTCATTTGTCCTCTGGGGCCACATTCTTAAGGGCCATCTTCTTTCACTTCTGCATCTGAGAGTCAGTTACTGTCCAAAGCTGCCCAGTTATGGCCAAATTTGCTGTCAAAAGCTGTTTGTTTTCTAGCTACAAGCAATGAAAGACAATAGGTAAGTTTGAAAGATTTTGCCAGTTGCTGTGATTGAGGAATTGTTGGGTTGGGAGCCCTTATTAGGAACCTTTTCCCTCTGCTTTGGAACTTAAGTATGTTGACATAGTCAATTATTGTAATTCACACTCTCTGTAGCACACTGTCATAGAGTTAATAAAATTATGTCAAATGAAGTGTCTCCTTCCTTTGTAATGATGTGCAAAATTAATGGATTAAATTTCTGCAGCGTGGTAAAAGGACACATTTTTCTTTCCTTCCATGAGTTGTTCTAGGCAGGATTCAGAAGTGCTGAGCAAGGGTTTCGTTCATGTTGGCAGATCCTGCTGTGGTGGGAGCTGGACAGACAGGAAATGCAGGCCTCTTAGCTGATTCACAGAACAAATTTGGCCTGTGATTCTTTGCTTAGTGGAGATGTCTCTGTGACTCGATATAATTGGTGGTGCCCCTGGCTGTTGTGAGCAGGGAGGTACTGATGATGTGAACGTGTGAGAAGCAGCATAACCTCCCTGGGGAGTGGCCTGGCTGGGCTTCTGGTGGTGTTGCACCACTCTGGCAGCACCCAGCAAAGGAACAGAGTATTTTAAGGCTACTTCTTTTACTATATCTTATCAGGTCTACTGTTTTTTCCCTTTTTGTCTTGTAGATTTGGCAAAGCCTCCAGTAAATGAACCAAGGGAAGCGGAACAGTTTCTAATGCAGACGCCCCAGGGAAATCCACTGCTGCTTTCCCACACCCTACAAGAGCTCTTGAGCAAGGACAGTGTGCAGGTGGAGCTTATACCTGAAAAGAAGGGCCTTTTTCTGAAACATGTGGAGTATGAGGTTTCCAGCAAGGTAATGTGAAAAGGCTTTGGGCTTGCTGAGAATGTGTCCTCCTAAAAATGTCTGTGCAGTTTCTGCTGGCAAAGTCCTGGCAGATTTAGATGTGCTGGATGATGCTGGTTTTAAGCAGACCATTTGTGTGCACTGATTTTTAATGCAGCATCCCTGGGCCTTCCTGACTTGGGCCTCTGCAGCATGGACCATCTAACTGAGCTGTGAAGGATGGTCTGCAAATTCACTTGCTTGAAAACCTGAGCTCTGTACCAGAGCAGGTGTGTGACAATGGAAACAGAACGGTTTTGTAACAAACTGGTGTAGGTTGCTGGGTGTTTCAAACTGAAATTGTATTTACAGTGCAAAAAAAAAAAAAAGTGGAGGTGCTGCTGTGTAAGCTGTGCATTGATTTATCCCCCTGGTTAATTGCAGAGATTCAAGTGCTCGGTGTACAGAAGATACAATGACTTTGTGGTGTTCCATGAGATGCTGCTGCACAAGTTCCCGTACCGCATGGTGCCTGCACTGCCCCCAAAGAGGATGCTGGGAGGTAAACCTGCATCTGCATTTTGGGCTGCAGGGGGTTTGCTGCGTGCTGCAAGTGTGATACTGTTGAAAAGAAAGGTTTAAAAGATTGGAAGTCTCGGCTTCTGCTTGCATCAGACAACTTTGAGAATCTTTGTTCAGGTGGTCAGTCTGCTTTTATAAGTCTTTATAACCAAGAGTCTGGTTGTGGGAGCTGACAGACTATAGGTATCCATTCTTTGGATTTTACTGCAGTGCTTTCTTTTTTCTTTCTGAGCTGCCATGTGAGGCACATTAGCTGAAATTTCGTGTTTCTTCCTGCAGCTGATCGTGAGTTCATCGAGTCGAGGAGGAGAGCGCTGAAGCGATTCATAAACCTGGTGGCTCGACACCCCCCTTTCTCAGAAGATGTGCTCTTGAAACTCTTCCTGTCCTTCAGTGGCTCAGTGAGTGTTTGTTAGCAATAGTCCTGAGCTTGCAAGTCTTGCTGTAACTGCCACAGCGTTCAGGATTGCTGTTAACCTGCATGGCTTTGCTCCCTGGGAGGAAGAGAATTTTCTCTCAGTAGGTGTTTCCACAGTGGAAAGTGGAAGGTAATTTCACTCAATGCCAGGAGTGTAGGATTTTGAAAATTATAACTATTCTTAGGCAGAGATGATGCTTTTCCTTAAATTAAATCTAACCTGGGTAAAGCTGTGTCTGCTGAGTTGTGCCTTGCTGCTGCAATGTATCTGAGACCTGCATGAACTGCCTGTGTTTTTTCATAGTTCCTTCATGCTCATTTCATTCTATATTTTCTCCAGGATGTACAGAATAAGCTAAGGGAATTGGTCCAGGGAGTAGGAGATGAATTTGTGACTTGCAGATTAGCTACCCAAGCCAAGGTATGTGTATGAATTTCTTGCAACACATTGTTCTGGTTTAAATGGCTTTCTTCTCCTGGTGCTTCAGTTAGGGCATTTGTGCAGTGATGGACACCTTAAGTAGGAGATATTTGTTTCTAGAGTTTGAAGGACTTGTAATTTTATTGAAAAGATCAAATAAACTTTTGACTCTTAAGGGCCTGATATTTCTAGCTAAATTCTGGCTCATTAATATGATATAGATTAAACAATGAATCCTGCTCAGAACTCGTTTCTCTGTAATTACTTGTACTTGCATAACAAACAAATGCACAAATTGCACAATTTAAAAGGTAATGTCTAGATTGATGTCTTTCCCTTGTGCTCATGCCCTCATTCTGTCTTGTTCTCTCCCTGTGGGAGAGCAATTTGGACTGTTAGGAAAAGCTAGTTATAAATTCTCCAGATACCTGTTTATCCCAGTGATTAGTGCTATGACAAGTTTTAAGTTCACATCCACTGTGTTCATTGAGCAATTTCAAAGCAAGTTGTTGTTCAGGTTCCTGCAGTGCCTGCAGAAGGTTTTGCAACTGGAGCTTAATTCAGGCTTTTACCAGTGATAAACTGGTCAAAAAAAAGCTGAACTTTCAGTTTGTGCTTGACTCTACTGGGCTGGGAGTTACCAGTAGGATCAGATCAGAACTTGTGAGCTTGAAACCTCACAAACGTTCTTTTAACTACATAGGAGAATTGCATATTTTGCCAGTTCTGTCTATGCTGGGTATTTGAACCTCTTTCTGCCTGTGAAAATTAGGGCTGTTTGTGTGACATGTGTCTTGGACACCGAAATGGGAAACTGTTCTCTGCAGAATTGTTAGAGCACAGAGGGAGAGTGTGAGCACAGGAGGGAAGCCTGTCCCTCTCTGCAGACTGTGCTGTGCCTCTGATTTACCCACCAGTAATCCCTCTGTTCTCCTTCAGGACTTCCTCCCAGCTGACATTCAGGCCCAGTTTGCTGCCAGCAGGGAGCTGATCAGAAATATTTATAACAGCTTCTATAAGCTCCGGGACCGTGCGGAGAGAATCGCTTCCCGAGCCATCGACAACGCCTCCGACCTCCTCATATTTGGGAAGGAGCTCAGGTAGGTTTGCAGCAACAGGGTTTGCTGTTTTTCTGGTGTTAAGAGCTCAAAACTCTTGTAAAGTTTACCTGCAAATGGTCTGGTAAAAATAGGTGTTTTAGTGCATGCTGTAGGACATAATCAATTTTTCTTCTATAAAAGAAGGAAATGCACACTTTTCAATAAAGCTGCATTTTATAGAGTGAGGAATGAAAACAGAAATACCTTCACATTCAAGTACTTGTGTTATTGTCTCTCTCCCCAGTATGTACACAGTTAACTATGCATTTGTGATAGTAGCTCAGCACTGTGAGCTATTTAGGCAGATTTGGAACTGCTCTCTGCAAATAACTTTAACTGCTCAGTGGAATTTGTCTCCTAGATGTGACCATTGCTTTTCTCCTTCCAGTGCTTTGGGCTCAGACACTACTCCACTTCCTTCCTGGGCTGCTTTGAATAACAACACATGGGGGACTCTCAAACAAGCCTTGAAGGGTCTGTCTGTTGAATTTGCACTCCTGGCAGATAAGGCTGTGCAGCAGGTGAGTCCTTTACTTTTGTCCTTTATTTTTCCTTTTTGTAACATGAATGAAGTACACTGCTGCCCTGAATTTTATCTTGAATCATGAGCTCTGTGAACATAAGCTCTTCAAGAGTTAAGAGGGAGATTGCAGTCCAAACTCACATCCTCAACTAACAGCCTGCTTGTTCAAGCTTGTGTGAAATACCTGGACTGTGTTTAAATGGGGAAAAAATGTAACAGGCAAGGGAAAGGAAGAAAAAACCTGCTTTCTTTCTGAATTTTAAATGGCTACTGCACACATTAAGCTCACTATTAGGGTGAGTTGTCCAAAAGTGCCATGTTCCATTTTATTAATCTGCTACAGAGAACCCAGAATAACTTACTTCTGAATCAATTTTTCAGTACTTTAATTCATGTACTTAAACATTACATGAGAATCATTCAGACAGAAGCATCACATTCCAGTCTAAGTGCACAGTGTGGTAATGACTGTCAGAGTGATGTGAGAACACGACACTCTGGGAAGGAAAAGTAATAGTTTTGTCTTCAGTGCTCTTCATCTCATTGTGTTAAAACAGTCAGTTGTGCTTTTGTAGATCAGTCAGGCCAGGTCTCTTTCTCTGGAGTTTATGCTCCAGAGAGCTCTATTGATACAGGAAGAAAAGAGTATTCTATAAAATAAAAAAATTGGCAGTGAAATTTGTCTTGGTGTCTCATCTCTGCCTTCTGATGCATGAACTGTTATGGGGAACATGCAGGTATTCAGAGTTTTAATGGATTAGTTATTTTGTAGGAAGGGAAGATGAAAGATTGAAGGAATCTGCAAGAGCAGGGAATTCCAGGCAGAGTGTGCTGAAAGGACTGACACGCAGGCCTGTGAAACCAACTCCTCTTGTTCTAATGATCAGTCAGTTGGAAAAGCTGTTCCTGCCTCAGTCAGGTCTTTGTTCTGCACACTGAAGACTAAACACCCCAGTGCCATTGGAGAGATTTTTGATGCAGTTGTGTAAGCTCTGATGTGCCCTGGAGAGAGCAGTGAGAGCCTGTGTGGTGTGGGGGGGTGAAGGGCTGTGATGCCAGGCTGACGTAAAATGTACTTTTTCCTTGTTTTCTAGGGTAAACAGGAAGAGAATGATGTGGTGGAGAAGTTGAACCTTTTCCTGGATTTACTCCAGTCCTATAAAGTGAGCTCTGCTGTTCTGCCAACAAGAAAGTTGTTTAGAGCAAGTTTGTGCTCTTTAGAGGGTGTAACGCCAACTGGATGGAAAACTGTCTGTGAGGCCAGTTCAGAGGCAAACTGGGCATCTGGCAGAGGCAGGGGAGTGACTCTTGGCCACAAGGAGCTCTGTAGCCTTCCTGATAGCTCATCTGATGATGACAACTTGCCAAAGAGCAAACTCTGTGAGGAATTTAAAAATATGACTGGCTAAACTGTGTGGATCAGCTAACTTTTTGGTTTTAAATTTGGCTGCTTTTGAGTGAAAGCAGTGAACTAGATTGTTGCTGATTTGCTCCTGGAGACATGAGTTCAGTTATGAATGAAAGGACTTTTTCATCTGTATGTGGCAGCCTCTCCTGACATTCCCAGGCCAGGACTGAATCTGAAGGACTTGAGCCAGCACTTTAATTAATTGCCAGCACTTAATACTGAGAAGGTCAGAAAAGATAAGAGGCCTGATAAGATCCAAAATGTTGGCAGAAGTGATGCTCCAGGTTGCCTCTTAAGCTCACTGGTCTGGGTTCAAGCAGTTTTGTTTCTTAAATTCTTAGGTACTGGCATTTTTTGACCCTCTTGAAAACAAAGGAGCAAAAATCTGCAGCGTAGAAATGACACAAAGTGTGACCACACGTGTGTGCTCCTGATGTACTTGACTGTGTGTTTGCTGACTCCTGGCTCCACTGCTGTTTTCTTTTCCCATAAAGGACCTGTGTGAAAGGCACGAGAAGGGGGTATTGCACAAGCACCAGCGAGCCTTGCACAAGTACAGCATGATGAAGAAGCAGATGATGAGTGCCACTGTGCAGAACAAAGAGCCAGAATCGGTGGAGCAACTGGAATCTCGGATTGTGGAGGTAGGGCAGGCAGAGCAAAGGGTGGGACTGGGCTCTGATGGTGCTGCTCTGGAACTCAGTCACGTTTGCAGACAGTTTTTGGATTGAGAGGGTTGCCTGTGCTTTGGGAAATCTGTGCTCCCCACTGTGCCACGTGGAAAATGTGTTGGTAGCACATAATTCGCAGGAGTTGTGAGAAGCATCAGTCTGCATGATGGAAAGGGCAATTCCTGCTGTATCAAATGGGTTCAGGAACTGCCTTTTTAGGGTTTTGGTATGTGTTTGGATTGCTGGTATGGGGAGGAATGCTGTTTTCTCCTGTTTCTCCTTTTCCCCTTTTCCCCATCCTCTTCCTGGTCACTGAGTTCCTCTTCTTTCAGCAAGAAAACGCCATCATAACCATGGAGCTGCGGAATTACTTCTCCCTGTACTGCCTGCACCAGGAGACACAGCTCATCCACATCTACCTGCCTCTCACATCTCACATTTTGGGGGCCTTCGTCAACTCCCAGATTCAGGGTCACAAAGAGGTGAGTTCTAGACTGTGTCCTTTTTCTCAAAATATGAATGAGAATTTGATTGGATTTGTTTTCACCCCTTGGCCTTCATCCTCTAATCACCTGTGCAGTTGGGCTCTCTCAAAACTTAGGAAGTTCCCTGAGGTTTTTCCGGTTTGGGGTGAGGATCAGGGTTGGCCTCTAACCCCTCTAAAGGATGGTATCTTCTTGCAGCAAGTTTCTTTTCTCTTTTCTTTTCTTTTCTTTTCTTTTCTTTTCTTTTCTTTTCTTTTCTTTTCTTTTCTTTTCTTTTCTTTTCTTTTCTTTTCTTTTCTTTTCTTTTCTTCCTTTCCTCATCTGTAGCTGGCCTTACCCTGTGAGTAGTTGAAAAAGACCCAACCATTCAATCTCTACTCTGTAATGAGTGATGTGTGTTTGTTAGATTAATCTGTTTTTTTTTGCTGAGCTGCACAATATATTGTATGACAAGAAAACTTTCCAGGTTTTGCTCTAAAACTTAGAAAACTCCTTTTTGTTAAACCCTTTAATATTTCCCATATACAGACTTTTTTGCTTTGGTTATATTAGAAAAGTCTTTTCTCCTTCAGCTCCCTTCCATCCTTTCAGTGAAGGAGTTTGATGGAGGGAAATCTCCCTTCCATACAGGCTCAGGACCATGTTCATGGAACTGCACTGGTCTGACAGGAACATTCTGGGTGTAGTGAACTTCCTGAAAATACTTCAGCAAATTTGTTGTCTCTGTATGTCTGAGACTGCTGCTAAGATTCCATGTGGTGAGATTATTACCTGCTGTGTGGTCATGTCTGCTCTCTCTCCTTCTCCACTCACAGATGAGTAAAGTTTGGAATGAATTGAAGCCGAAGCTGAGCTGCCTTTTTGTGGGATCCAGCAGTATGCCAACTCCACCACTGTCACCTCCAGAGGGAAACTTCTTTTCCAATTAACGTTCCAAGCATCCCACACGGAGCAAGAAGGGCAATCAACGAAGGGGTGGGACCTCTACCTCCAATGAATCCTCCAAAACAGCTATTTTTATTTTTTTTTTTTAATATTGCTGCTTTGAGCTGCTCTCTGATTTAGACAGACTGGATGTGGGGCAGAACATAATGGATACAGAGACAATTTTGTAATTTTGCAATGCCCTGGGGCAGAGCTGATGTTCATTCTCCTGCAGACACTGCTCATGGGGTCGGGACAGGGCCCGGCACAGCGAGTGCTGCAGGGTTTGTTGTTGCTGGGGCCTCTGCATCTTGTACTAACAGTCCTCCAGTGGTGTTTATCTGCAGCTGTGCTGACACATCTCTGCACGTCTCTCAAATGCTGAGATGAACAGGATAGCTGAAGCACTTGCTTGTAGTGGAGATAAATTGCTTTTTATGCCTTGGAGGGCCTGTGTTAGGGATGTGTGTGCATGAGGAAAGCTGAAAGCCATCCCCCATCCTGTTGTAGGTGTCTGGATTTGATTTCTTACTGCTAGACCTTAGCACAAAATGAATGAAGTGGTTGGATTTTGTAACCCAGCTGGGCAGGGGTCAGTGCTGCTCTGTGACAGGGATTTTCCTGACGGTGCTGGATGGACTCTATTGTCAGTTTGTTTCCCTTCATGGTTGAAGGGCACTCTGGGGAATTGCTTGTATTTTTCAGTTTGGGGCCAAAGACAGCTGGGTTCAGGAACTCAGAGGAGTTTGCCTGGCATAAATGAGAAAATAATTGACTAAAACATTCCGTAATTGTAAATCACTTGTACTACAGGAGTGGAACAGCTACAAGGTAGCTTGTTTACTTTTTCTGGAGGTTCTGACCTCCATCTGCTGAGTAGCTGCTCAGATCTGTTGGAGAGCTGCTGACCCAAAGGCTGGTGTTTTCCTTGGTGTAATATCAGAAGTATCCTGCTGCACCAGCAGGCTGGAACACAGTGCTGATAAAGTTCATTTGCAAAAATTCAGTATTATCAGGATGTTATTGTCATTCTTCCTGGCTGTGGGTAGCATTGCAGTATGTTTGTTTGTGAAGGAGAGTAGATGATTAAGTTCTCATCTCTAAAAACACCACAGCCCTTGGTAATGGGGTTTTCAGAATGGTTTGTGGTTGTGATAAAGGGACTAAACACTCCCCACTTTGCATCTCCAGTGGCTTTGCCTGGGGAGGCAAAGGGGGAGAACATGTAAGTCATGTTACCTCAGGGGAAATGTGCACATCCTCCAGAGAAACTGATAATCAAACTGCAAACGTCTGCAGCAAAGCTCTGTGTGAACAGGACTCCCTGAACCTGACTTCTCTGGGGCCAAAATAGCTCCCAAAGGGGAATTTGTGACTTGGCTTCTTAGCGTTTTCCTCGAATGGGTAAAAAAGGAAGCACATTAACAAGGATGAGTGTGTGCTGTTAATCAGAATCATTACAGTATTTTCCCACTGGGGAACTTCCCCATTATCAGGAAGTATATTTAAATCCTCCAATCACAAAAGCTTTTTTGATTTGATTTTTTTTTTAATTTAGAAATTTCAGTGCAACATGAAACTCTTCCTAGCCCAGATGGAAATTCTGGATTAGTTTCTTCAGCTAGGAGCAAGATAAGTTATTTGTCCAGTTTTAGGAGACTGAATAACCATTACTCACACTCCTCAACATGGAGTAAATACACTGCTATGGGTGAATTCCTTGAGTGCTGGGCCTTAAGCAGCGTGTAGCCAACCTTGCACAGATTGCATTAAAGAGCTTTTCCCAACAATTCAAATGTTAACTCACTTTCCTCCTGCACATGGGCCTTGTCCAGTGAGATAGATGAACTGCAAATGGCTGTGACAGATTTGATTCTCTCCTGGAGATTTCCTAAGTGATGCAGAAGAAATTCTGCTCACAAGCTGAGCAAACTGTCAGGGGAGGGAAATGTTTCTACAGTCCAGTTACAGAGAAGATACCATCTCAGGCATGGTACAACAGGTTTTTCTGCTTGACCATGTCTTGATTAGAAAGATGGTTTGTGGTTCAAGTGTGGAAAGTGTGTTACCAGACTTTTCCATGCTCTTCACATTATCAGAAGGTGCTGGCTGGTTATGGCTGGCTTAGTGTCAGCACCCACCCTCCCTCACTTGTTTGCCTGATGTGGTGAACAGTGAAATTGAGAAAGTACTGTATGTTTTGGGGCAAGATCTGATAATTTATGATGGTCTCATAAGTTACTTGTTTGACTGGGCAGTGTTCTGTAGGAGTGCTTGCAAAGGATTAACCTGAATGGAACTTTGCACTTTTCACTCTTAAAAAAACATTACAATTTTGAAGATGATTTAAAATCAAAAAACAACCCCCCAAAAAGCAAACATCAAAATCACATTAGGGCTTTAGACTAACTCCTCTTTCCTGTTTGCCTTCAAGCACAAATTGTACAGTCCTAGTGCAGAGACTGTAACAATGATAGGCACATCACAGCATCTATAAGGAAACTGAAATTACCTTGTTTTGAGAAACACCCCATTCCTCCATTGTCAGCCCTTGTGTCTTTGAGGAGGAGAGTTTTGGGGGTGGGCTTTTCTTGTTTTGGTTTTACTCTGTTCACCAGGTATTTGAGAACTGAGGCCCAGCATTCTCAAAGCTGTTCCAGCTGCTGGCACTTTCAGAGTTTCTTTCATACTGGACTGTCAAGCTTGTTTCATTCCTAAACACATGCAGACACTATTTCATACAACCCTTAGTTTGCAAACCTTTCTTCTGGGAGACTGGTCAGTGTGCAAATAGCACTGTTTGTTTACCTCAGTGTGTGAGGGATTTCCTTACTGTTTTCATTTTGTTCAGTTTATGGATCTGTCAGACTTTGAGGGCAGCATCAAGCACAGCTTCCTTCCTCCAGAGGGAAGCAGCAGGGACTCAAGGATCCATCAAGCTGTCTGTCTGTCCTAGCCAATGTGGGGAAAACAGTTGTAATTACCTCCATGCTTTTGCCTTCTGCAGTAAACACTAACCAAGCCAGACTAATTGAGGAGTGTGTGCTGCCTATCTGAGATCTGATGCTCCTGTAAGATGCAGTGCCAAAGTGTTAATGTGCTTTTGTGAATGGAAGCTGTTCTGTGTGTGCTTGAGGTCAGGGGACTTTGATGTGCTCAAAGGAGTGATGGTAGAAAAGCTGCAGTGTCTGTCAGAGCAGTCCTGGAGGTACCAGGGTAGCAAACACCTGAGACCTTGAAAGGCTGCCTGAAAATTGTTCTCTGAAAAGGGCTCAAAGTTTTGTCACTCCTGAGGGCTTCTCCACTTCCAGCTGTGAAGTGGGAACACACAGGCTTTTTGTCAGTATCCTGTTGAAAGGCTCAAAACTCTATTTACAGTACCTTAAATCTTGTATCCTTCTTTCCCTCTCCTTCCATCTTCCTGGCAAGTTAGCTCAGCTGTAACATGTTCAAGGGTGCCTTGCTACATTCCAGTGCTTTTAACTCTCCTTTAACCATGCAAGGGTGTAATTCCTGGAATTGTAACAGGCTAATTTACACTCTTCTGTTTGTAAGAACAGTATCATCCCAGCTCTTTGACAGGAGCTAAAAATCAGGGTTGGGGAAAGCACCTTCCTGAAAGGACTCACCTGACTGCAGACAGGATAACAAGTGCAAGCTTGAGCCATGCTTGTTCTTTTCCTACCCAAACTCCTGGAGGAACAGAAAGTAATTCTGTGTGATTGTCACGTGCTGTCTCTCACCCAGCAATTTACAGTTTCCATCAGGAAATAAACCAAGGTATTTAACAGGTATTGGCTGCCAGTCATGCCCTTTCCTACCATGCAGTAAGGTCCCGGCTGCCAGTCATGCCCTTTCCTACCATGCAGTAAGGTCCAACTCTGTCAAAGCTGCTTGTCCTTTTGTGCTTATTCTATTTGCCCCAAGCCATTCTGTCTGCTAGAGCAGCCAGGAACCCTCACTGCCAGGTCAGAAGCAGAGGTGGGTATCTCTATTTACTCTGTAAATAAATGTGCAGCACAAAAGGAAAAGTAAGGTTTGAAGGTGTTAATTCATCCTCCTAAGTCTGAGCTGTGGCTTGCTGAGCAGATGAAGAAGGATGTTTTGAGTGGTATAAATTTTTCAAAACTGCTGGAAGGAGACAAGAAACAAACATAGTTCAGAGGGTGTGAATTTTGCCTGCCTTGGAATATCCTGTATCTTTGCTTTGCTCAAATAGCCTTATGTATGAAGCACTTTATTCAAATGCAGGAATTAAAGAACTATTACTACAGCTGGTAGACTGGAAATGTTTACAGATCCTACATGACATTCCAAGATTCTATCTGTAAGTGTTACATGTCTGTAAAAGTGTTTGAAAAAAGGAAAAAGAAAAACAACTTGTGTAAGAAGTTACATATGTGACGTGTTATTTCTGGCATGATTGGATTAAACTTGTGCTGCCCACCGTGCTGGGTTGGGTGACATCAGTGCTGAGCAGTCACCTGCCCTGGGACAAAGCCTGCAGCCCTAGGGGATGGCACTTTGCAATAGGAACTTGCTGGAAGTTGAATTTATTCAGTATATTTTTACCTGAAATGCACAAATAGTTTGACTTCACAGCAGGAGCTGCAAGAGTGAAAGCTGGGCTGAGACAGGACTGTACATCTACCTCTGGCTTGTGCTTTAACTCCCATAACCTCACACTGCCTTCAGCTGGAGGATCCTGAAGGAATCTCTGGTTTGAACTTTTCAAAAGGCTTTCTCAGCATCCTTATAATAGAACAACACATACTTTTACTAAAAAAGTATTTTTAATAATAATAAAAAATCTACCCATAAGGGAAAAGCTTAAGCCACTAAAAAGGGTTAACATTTATTTTTTAATAGCTGTGATCACATAACCACCAAAGCCAGGGACTTCACAGCATGGAAAATCTTGTTACTTTTATTTCTGCTCTAAGAAACCCCCTTACTTTGCAGTGACCTGGAAAATAAGTCTTGTGTTCTGGCAGGCTGAGCAACGAGACCCTCATAAGTCACGCTCAGGATGCTGTAGCCCAATGTGGGCAGTAGCATGTGGGCTGAATGCTTCTGCTTTCTTAAACTTCCTCCACTTCTTTCAGGCTGTGCTCCAGGATGGTGTCTTGTCCTTGGAACTTAAAATAGCCACGAAACAACTTTCTCTGAAGCACCAGGGGAAACCAGTAGCTGTCATCAGGCCACATGCGATGGAAGGGCACCTCGTCCAGCTGAAACCACTGGGGCCTCATTTCTGATGGCAGGAAACAAAAGAACTCTGCATGGGACATGCTCATGGATTTTTGCTGCCTACACTGAATATTGGTCAACAAGCAGCTTCCCTCTCCAGCCCAGCTGCCTTCCTTCTGGGAGGCATTTTAGAGTGACTAGTTCTCCATTTCCTAAGGGCAGTGCTGTCTCAGAAGAGCTTGCACCTCCTTCTTTCCCCAGACCAGCCACCTACCCTCACTTTCTGTTGGCTCTCCATGGAAGTGATCTGCACGGAAAATGTGAACGTCCATGAGTTCAGAGTTGCCCACAAATTCAAATGTGATCTGACCCATCTTCTGCAAGGTGTCCACAGTCAGGCCACTCTCCTCCAGGAGCTCCCTGCACAAGAAAAAGGCTTCTTATATGAAAGTGAGCTTTGGGAGGACAAAAATGCAGTCATTAGCTTTACTCACACATTTAAAAGCCTTCCAGTGAACCAAAGGTGAAAGCTCTTCTAGTACAACAGAGCAGGGTTCTGACCTGCACCAAGCCACAAAGCTACACCACCACAGTGGGGCCAATTTACATGGGATTGTGTGTTATTTCAAGCTCCTGAGCCTGGCAGGAAAACGCTCAATGTTGGAAAAGGAAGATTCAGGAAAATGGATCATTTAGTAGAATTTAGTCCTTGCAACATGCAGCTCTTCTCTGAGTAAGGGAGAAGTGGGGATGTGAAGTCATCTGACTGTGGCTGGCTGTGGCTTCAGAACTCCAAGACACACGTCATTTACACAGGCAAAAGGCTTTGCCAACTTCAAGCTGAATCTTTTAGAATTGTGGAGAAGCAGGTCATGAACACCAGAAGGAATATCTATACCTGCTACACAATCAGCTACTTCCAAAGCAAACAAGCTTAGTTAAATTACACACTCCATAACACCATTTGCACACAAAAGGTTGAGAATTCCAGTTCCCATTCAAATGCAGTGTAAAATACACAAAGCACTTGTGCAAACTCTGCCCTTCTGCTCCTTGGGAGCACACTGAGCATAACCAGAGGCCAAAAGGGAAGACTTTTAAGAGCACTTGGAGAGGTGTGCCAGCTCTTTTCCACACACCACCATGCACAGGTACTTTCAATTATTTCCTCTCTTTATGCTCTGTGCTCAGAGCTTTTTTTATTTTACTTCACTCTAAAAGAAGCAGCATGGCTTGAAGTTAGTCATGGTTTTATAATGTACAAAAATAAGGAATACTCTGAAACTGTGTATCTTTAGTTATAGTTAATAATTAACATAGTTGCCTATTTGGCAGGAACAACAATTTTAAAATGTAATGGAAATGATTTTAAGGCTCCAGCTTTCTTTGGCATTGGTTTCATGGATCCCATCTTTCAAAATAATACTTGAAATTAATGTCTTGGCTAATTTTAGTTTATCTTCTGAGAAGCTATCTATGTCTAAAATAGAAGCAGTTTTCCAGCAATGACTCTAAAAGCCTCCTTTTACAGGCACTGATAATTGAACAACAAAGCACAACATTGCTACAGTTCTCCAGGCAATTTATCCATCAGCTGCTTGGCTCTGTCTGTAGCAAGTGGAAACATTACAGGTGGCAAACTAGAAATAACTCATTCACTAAATGCTCCCCTTACAAGATGTGCCACTGAGGACCTGCCCATGTGCTCATGGGAATGTGCTGTACACAGCAGAAGATGGAAATCTTCTGGGAACTTTTGTTCATGCTTTGGGTTAATATTTAACTACCTGTGCTGAGACTTCCCACCTGCTGCCTCTGCCAACCCAACTGAGACAGAGCAACGTGGAACCACAACCTCAGACCTCAACTGCAGTGGAAATGGTACAAGGGAAGTTTGATTTGGAGTGTGTGGTGCTTCCTGCAGCAGAGCTGTGCCCTGAGGCAGCAGTGCACCACCCAGCAAGGCAGCCAGTGTGTCCAGCTGCTCCTGGCACTGGGGACAGCCTCCTGCCCAGCTGACCTCAGCAGGAACTGGCTGTGTCATTCTGGAGGAAACTGCAGCTGAAGGCATGGGGACAGTTCCCAGCAGCAGGTGCTGGCTGTGCTGTGGCACGTTGCATTTGGATTGAGGAAAATTTTAGCACATCTTGTGTGAACAGAGGTTCTGGTGTCAAACTCGGGGCCAGCACAGATAAACACACCAAGGAAATCAAAAGCTACATTAAACCATTAGATTTACCTCATAGCCAGTTGCAGGTAAGTCTAACAAATGTTAAGTGAAAAAACATATGTTTCTCCCTCCACTCAGAGACGATAAATCACATGAAAAGCCACGATGAACTGTCAGGTACGTTAGGGCCACGTGCTGCTGGGAGCACATCTGCACAGGGACCCTGCTGTCCCTGGGCCCAGCTCACCACAGAGCCTGGGCAGTTGTGCTGGCACAGCTGGGGAGCCTGTTGAGGGCAGAAGCTGTTGGGAACCAGCTGAGCACACCATGACTGATCTTCCTGCAGGTGCAAGGGCAGCTTTGGGCACGTTATCAGAAACTGAGGAGATGTCAAAGCACAGCTTTGTATCAGCAACATTCATGTAAAGAACAAGGTACCTAATTTTTAGAGGAATTTAGCAATTTAGCTGTGATTTGCTACTTCATTTTAATGACCAGATAGATGAAAGAACTACAAGAAATCAGTACTGAAGGGTTCAGAAATTACACTCTGCCTTTTTACTGATGAAATTCAATTCCACAACTCAGCATTAGCACTTAAAAATGTCACACCATACGATCAAATAATAAGCAGTTTGGGTAATTATTTAAATTCAATTAGCTGTAATTCTGCTATATGGCCAAAATTAAACCCTGTACCTCTCTGAAGATTGTAAGAACCTCTACCCACCACTTAGACTCATTCTCAGTTTAGATCAGAATCCAGGAGATGGGAGGGAGGACAGGAAGCTCCACTTGCTCACAGACTGGATGAGTTTAAGATATGCAGGTGACAAAGGTGATGATTGTTTCTCCTGTGCAGAGAAACAATCCTGTTTCTCTGTACATGTGGATGATCCCTCATCACCTGTGGAGCAGGTGTTCAGAGGTGGGGCCATGACTTCACTGGTGGGTAGTACAAGGGCGTCACTGACCAGATGAGCTGTGGTACCTCCACCTGCAGCCCACAGCCGATGGTCCAACACCTCCCCCTGTGCCCCCATACCTGTCCCCGTGGCACCGGCCCGGCCCTCACCTGCGGGCAGCCTCCTCGATGCTTTCCCCGGGCTGCACCTTCCCCCCGAAGCCGTTCCACAGCCCGGCGCCGAACCCGCGCTTCTTCATGCCCAGCAGGACGCGGGACGGCTGCACCACCAGGACGAGGGTGAAGAGTCTGGAGGTGTGCATGGCTCCTGGCTGAGGGACGAGGCGGACACGTTGTGCCGAGAGTTCCCGGCCTCCTTCCGAGGGGACCCGGGGTGTGCAGAGCCCCTCAGACCCAGCAGCCCTCCCCAGTGCCCGGTCCCTAAAGCCCATCACCTACCTCCCTGACGCTCCCACTGACCCTCGCTCTCCTGCTACCTCAGCACCCCCTTCCCAAAGTTTGATCCCCCAATCCCAAATCTCAAAGTTTGATCCCCCCTTCCCAAATCCTTGTTTCCCCAAACCATTTCCCCCGAATCCTGACCACCTTTAACACGCTCTACCAGCACTACTGACTCCCAGCACCCCTTCCCCAAATCCTCGATCCCCTCCGCAAATCCCTGTCCCCCCAGATTCTCCGAGCACCTCCAACACCCCTTCCCCGAATCCCTGAGCCCCCAGAAACTCCTCCCCAAATCTCCGATCCGCTCTCCCTAAATGTTTATTCCTCCTAAACTGCCTCCCCGAATCCCTTATCACCCTCAACATCCCCTCCCCGAATCCTTGACTTCCAGCGCCCCTTTCCCAGATCGTTGAACCCCTATCCCAACCCCTGACCCTCCTGCACTCCCATCCCCGTCCCCGCGCACCTCAGCCCCGCACTCGCGGCTTTCCCGCCCGCCTCGGTGTCGGCCGCGGCCCGTCCCCGCTCTTCCCGCGCCGCCGCCGCCCCGCCCGCGGCTGCCGTGAGGGGAGGCGGGACACAGGGCGGGCCGAGGCGGCCATGGCGGGCCCGGGCGGAGCCGTCATTGCCGGGGGCAGGTGCGTGGCGGGGCCGCTGAGACGATCCCGGCGCCCACGAGGGGAATGGTGGGGTGTCCTAGAGCGGGTGCCTGGAGATTCCCT